AGACCTGGGTGAGCTGACAAGCTATCTTGGCTTGCGGATCACCCGGGACAGAGCACGGCGCACCATCACCTTGACTCAGTCACACATGGTGCAGCAGGTTCTCCAGCGCTTTGGCTTCACGTACTCCTCGCCTCAGTTCACTCCTCTGCCTACCGGTCACTCGCTCTCAGCTCTGCCTTCGGATGAGTCCGTAGAGCCGAGTGGCCCGTATCCAGAGCTTGTGGGCTGCCTCATGTACCTGATGACCTGCACTCGACCTGACCTTGCATACCCTCTTAGCATCCTTGCACGCTATGTCGCTCCTGGCCGTCACAGGAAGGAGCACATGGATGCCGCTAAGAGGGTGTTGCGCTACTTGTGCAGTACGTCGGGCATGGGGCTTGTGCTTGGAGGGCGAGACCGAGTTGTGCTCACAGGGCACTCAGACGCTTCTTGGGCAGACGACCAGGCCACTCAGCGGTCGTCTCAGGGTTACACCTTCAGCCTTGGCTCTGGTTCAGTTTCTTGGCGCTCTACACGCTCTTCTTCTGTTCTCGGCTCCAGTTGCGAGGCTGAGATCTACGCTACAGCCATGGCTGCCCAGGAGCTACGCTGGCTGACCTACCTGCTGACTGACCTCGGAGAGCCGCCTCGTTCTCCTCCAGTACTGTACGTCGACAACAAGGCAGCCATTGCCTTGTGTGAGGAGCACAGACTGGAGCACAGAACGAAGCACATCGCCCTGCGGTACTTCCTTGCTCGAGAGCTGCAGCAGCGCGGTCAGCTTTGTATTCGCTACGTGGCCACTGAGGCCAACACTGCTGATGTGTTCACCAAGGCGCTTCAGCCTCGTGACCATCAGCGCTTCTGCACTCTACTAGGCCTTGTGCCTACTGGACCTCACTTGCTTACCTCTTGACTTTGCTTGTACTGTGATCACTATATATATCTATACCTGCATGTTTATTCTTGCTAGGTTGTGATCACTGTATCTCTGGCTCTGTTATAAACCTGCATGTGAACTGGTCTTGTGACCACTAGCTTGTGCTCGGAATTTGTGTGGAATCCTCGAGATCCACCCTGAGCTTGTTGTTGCCTTGCTTTGCCTTGACTGGTCTTGTGACCCCTAGGTCTCCCCCACTTTGCCTATGGGGGTGTGTCAAACATTATATATGTTGGGTTTGTTAGGCTACAGTGGGTTAGCCTATATGGGGTACACAATTCTAGGGTTTGCTATTTGTACTGATCTCTCTGTTAGTTCAATCATTCCAGTCCGTTCATTCTGACAGAGGTGGGGGGCTAGTACTGCACTATGCACCCCCACACACGGAACATGGAGGTGTCGCCCTTCTTGCCCGTCCATTTCATCTGCGGCGATAGGTTGCACGTGATAGATTGGGAAGCACGGTAGTTCGATTTCATGCTCGCAAGACTCGGCCCGATAACCAACCACCATACGTCCCTGCTACGAGCACCTTCAACAAACCAACCTTCATCATATTTCTCAACTCGAACCTAAAGGAACTGCACAAGCAAAACATAGCTACGTGAAGCAAACCACTCACCAAATAAGAAGTCTTGAACCGATACACCTCACGGGACACTTTTTGCGTCAACCCTGGCACTAACAAAAATGACGACGTCATCGAAGCAAGCAGCAACGCCGAAGCTTGCCCCCGATGCAGCTTGATTAGGAAACACATTCTTGATCTCGCCGTATCTGTTTGGGAACTTCCATCCCAGTTCGAGTGAATGACCGTGTGCAACACGCTGCAAGAACCAGACAGTAAAAAATCGAGGGCCGGACGTAGGTGAGAGGGCAAGGTTGACCTGATCTACTGTCCAACCGATGACATAGTTGCCGATTTCCTCACAAAGTGATTGCCCCGTCAGCAGTATCGAAAAAGTTTCTAACTGAACGGGGTGGTTTAGCGAGTCACGACTTGCTACATCTAGAAATTAAGAAGGGTGTTACAAAGGGTGAAATGAAAAACACTTTGCATTCCTGTCAGTAGCAATCAAAGAGTGCAAAAGCGAGTACGAATGCGAAAGGTTTTGTATTACTATACAAAGCTACGTTTTCGAGTCAACCCTGGCAGTAACAAAGATGATGACATTGTCGAAGTAACCAGCAACGACGAAGCTTGCCCCCGATACAGCTTGACTCGGAAACACATTCTTGATTTCTCCTTAACTGTTCGAGGACTTCCAACCCAGTTTGAGCGAATGACCGTGTGCAACGCCCTGCAAGAACCAGACAGTAAGAACAAGGACGCTGCAATGTTTTTTCATCAAGGACGTACTGCCCAACCGATAACATGGCAGCTTCACAAAAGGATTGCCCTGGTTGTAGTATCAGAACTGTTTCGAACTGAACAGGGTGGTTAAGCGAGTCAAGACTTGTTGCGTCTAGGAATTAAGAGGGGTGTTACAGATAGTGAAATAAAAAACACTGTGACACAATAGCAAGCAAAGAGTGAAAAAGAAAGTACGAATGCGAAAGGTCACGTATTATTATACAAAGCTATGTATTTCCTTGGTATAACTGTCAGAAACTAAAGACAGGAATAAATTGACTAGATCAGAGTTTGGTACAAATATGAAACCCTAACCGTATAGGTTGTACCCCATATTAGCTACCCCACTACAGCCTACACATATATAACATGCATATAATTTGACACACCCCCATAGGCAAAGTGGGGGAGAGCAAGGGGTCACAAGACCAATCAAGAAAAGCAAAGCAAGCTCAGGGTGGATCACAACGTCACCACACACACTAAGCACAAGCAAAGGGCCACACGGCCAGTTCACATGCAGAGGTATATATGCAACAATAGCATCACAGTGATCACTACCTAGCAAGAGCAAGCATGCAGGTATATATATAGAGATCACAGTACAAGCAAAGCCTACAGCAAGTGTGGAAACTTGGGCACAAGGCCCAACAAAGTACAAAAGCGCTGATGATCACCAGACGGAATTGCCTTGGTGAATATATCAGCAGTGTTCGCCCGAGTGGCCACGTGAGCAAGGCGAAGCTGACCACGCTGCTGCAACTCTCGAGCCAGGAAGTAACGCAGAGCGATGTGCTTCGTTCTGTGCTCCAGTCTGTGCTCCTCACACAAGGCAATGGCCGCCTTGTTGTCAGCGTACAGAACTAGAGGAGAACGTGGCAACTCTCCCAAGTCAGTCAGTAGGTAGGTGAGCCAGCGTAACTCCTGTGTAGCCATGGCTGTGGCGCAGATCTCAGCCTCACAAGTGGAGCTGAGAACAGAAGACGAGTGTGTAGACCGCCAAGAAACAGAGCCAGAGCCAAGGCTGAAGGTGTAACCCTGTGACGACCGCTGCGTAGCCTGGTCGTCAACCCAAGACGCGTCAGAGTGTCCAGTGAGGACAACGTCACCTCGTCCTCCAAGCACGAGCCCCATGCCCGATGTACTGCACAGGTAGCGCAGTACCCTCTTAGCAGCATCCATGTGCACCTTTCGGTGCCTACTAGGAGCCACGTAGCGAGCCAGAAGGCCAAGAGGGTACGCAAGGTCAGGTCGAGTGCAGGTCATCAGGTACATGAGCCAGCCCTCTAGCTCTAGGTAAGGACCGCTCGGCTCTACGGACTCGTCCGAAAGTGGAGCTGAGAGCAAGTGACCTGTAGCCAGAGGAGTGGACAGTGGGGAGGACCAGGTGAAGCTGAAGCGCTGAAGGACCTGCTGCACCATGTGTGACTGAGTCAGTGTGATGGTGCGCCGTGCTCTGTCCCGGGTGATCTGCAAGCCAAGGTAGCTGCGCAGCTCACCCTGTTCTGTGCACGTGTGTCTCTTCTGCAGTTCCGACATCATCAGGGCGAGAGCCTCAGTGTCAGCAGTGGCAAAAGCCAAGTCGTCGACGTACACGATGATGTAGAACGGTAGCACCGAAGTGTCGGTGCGCAGAAACAGCGACGGGTCGGCTGTAGAAGGAGCAAACCCAAGAGCCGCAAGTGTAGTCCTCAGTGTATCGTGCCACTCACGAGGCGCCTGGCGGAGACCGTAGACTGGCCGCCGGAGGCTCCACTGGGTACCAGGAAGAAACGACCCAGTGAAGCCAGGTGGGCGGTGCAGCCAGATCTCCTCGTGCAGGCTGCCCTGTAAAAAGGATGTGCTGAAGTCCAGGGAGTGAAGCTCGTAGTCACGCTGAGCGGCAACGTGCAGCAGCACCCGAAGAGTGGTCATCTTCGGGGTGGGGGAGAAGGTCTGGAATAAGTCAACTCCCTCACGCTGACTGAAGCCTCTAGCAACGTAACGAGCCTTGAAGACAGGAGGAGAACCCGGCGGCCGCTTCACCCTGAAAATCCACATGCCATCGACGATGTTCGCCCTAGGAGGGGGAACCTCATCGACGTAAGTGCCTGTGGACTTTCAGGATGCCATCTCTGCGTCCATGGCTGTCCGCCACTGAGAGGAGTAGGGGCCCGCGATCGCCTCAGCGTAAGAGCGTGGGGTCGGGATGTTTGGTTCATCCGGGTCTCCCTCAGGGGCAAGCAGCATGGCCACGAGATGGGGCGCAGCGGCTGCAAGACACTCAAGGCCCTCCTGCCTATTCTCACGGACGTCCGAGCCAAGAGCACATTCACCCCTGACAAACGGACGGAGGACAGACATACTCAGACTCAGCAACAAGACTAGCGGCGTAGTCTAGACGACAGGCAGCAGCAAAGTCAACAAGCTCAGCGACCAAGGCAGACGCAGCAGCAGACTCAAACGACGGGTCAGTGACAACAGTGGCTAACAGACGTGTGACTGTAGGGTGTGTAGCACGAAACCGGTCAGACTCAGGGTCCGGAACGCCAGGTAGAGAGGACGTAGGTGGAGACAGTAGAGGAACACGCTGCTGAGCAGAGGAAGGACGAAGGGCTACGCCGGGGACAGCCGGCGGACGCGAACGAGGAACACTGAGCAAGACTCCCTGTCTGCTCAGTGTAAGGAGAAGGAGCAGGCAGCGGCGAGCCAGGCTGTAACGGAAGACCAGTAGAAGACGGGAGGCTAAGAACCTGGCGAAGCATAGAGCCAGGCGGTGGCTGAGACGACGGAGACGGCGGAGCGAAGAACAGTCGCGGCTGCGCAGTGCCACCAGCACCAGCAGCTCCAGCACCTCCAGCACCAGCTCCAGAACCTCCAGCGCCAGCACCTCCAGGACCAGCTCCACCAGCAGTAGCACCCCCAGAACCGGCACCTCCAGTCCCAGGGTCTCCAGCCTCAGTGTCTCCAGCAGCAGCACCCCCAGACACAGCACCTCCAGTCCCAGCAGCTCCAGTACCTCCAGTACGAGCACCTCCGGGACCAGTGACTCCAGCACCTCCAGAAGACAAAGTTCCAGCACCACTCCGAGCTCCAGTGACGTCAGCGGAAGCACCTCCAGTGGCAGAGCCCCGAGCTCCAGCAGCGCGACCCTGACGACGTCCGTACCACTCGTGCAGCTGCTGTGAGGTGAGAGGCACACGCGGACGAAGGCGGCCACTCCAAGGAGACCGCGCACCAGCAGTCGCAGTACCCTCAGGCGCCGCACCCCCAGACTCAGCACCCCCAGGCTCCTCACGCTCAGGCTCAGCACCCCCAGACGCAGTACCTCCAGGCTCCTCACGCTCAGGCTCAGCACCTCCAGGCTCAGTACCCTCAGGCCCCTCACGCGTAGGCTCAGTACCCTCAGACTCCGCACCCCCAGGCTCAGCACCTCCAGGCTCCTCACGCTCAGGCACAGCACCCCCAGACTCCGCACCCCCAGGCTCAGCACCCCCAGGCTCCTCACGCTCAGGCTCCGTACCCCCAGGCTCAGCACCCCCAGAGACAGCACCCCGAGCAGGACCACCCCCAGCAGGACCTGAATCATCAGTGACCTCAACAGGCGCAGGCACAGGAGGGTCTACCTGAGAAACACCTGAAGGAGCAGGACCTGGCGCGGGGAGGGGGTCTACCTGGGGAGGACCTGGAGCGAGAAAGAGTGGCGGGGGAGCGCGAAGGGTAGTGCGGTAGGGAAACAGGCGGTAAAAGGGCACTGGCTCGTCAAAGGTGACGTCCTGAGACGCAAAGACAAGGCGTGAGGCGGGGTCGTAAAACTGCCAGCCAGGCGCGTCAGGAGGAAAACCAAGGAAGACGCAGGGAATGGCGCGGGCGGAGAGCTTGTCCGCGGTGGTATCGCGGACAAAGGCACGAGCACCCCAGACCCGGAATCGCGACGCATCGCCAACCTCCCCCGTCCACAGCAGTGTGGGCGAGGTCTCCGGCAAGGAGACACGGAGCCAGAGGTTGAGCTGATGCACGGCGTACCGGACCGCAAACGGCCACAGAAAATGGGGAGCAGCCGCATGGATCATGGAGGTACGAGCGACCTCCATGACTAAGCCAATGTGGCGCTCAGCAACCCCATTCTGCTGCGGAGAGGCCAGAAGCGTGAACGGCTGGCGGATGCCGTGCTCCTCATAGAAGGCTCGCAAGAGGTCGGAGGTGAACTCACCACCTCTGTCAGAGTGCAGACGCAGGATAGGAAAGTCCGACCCGAACGAACTGCTCGCGGAGCTGGAGACGAACAGCGCGGATCCAAGGAATCAGAACATCAGGGACGTCCCCTTGCACTGCAAGGGGAAGACCGTGGTGTAACGCGTGTAGTCGTCGACAACCAGCAGGAAGTACCGCTCACGGCCCTGCCCCTGGACGCGGGCTGGGCCCCACACGTCCAGGTGGAGAGTCTGCAGCGGAGCCTCTGTGGGAGGGAACGAGGAGGAGTGAGGAGCGGCACGCTGCCGCCCCTCGACGCAAGGAATGCAGGGCGGCGCAGGCGAGGGAGGGAGGGCAGGCAGAGACCTGGGAAGACCAGAGACCAGGGAGCGAGAGTGCATGCCACGAAGGCGAGGCAGGGAGGGGTGACCAAGGCGGTGGTGCCACAGGAGAGTGTCGTGCGACAGGCGACGACACTCACACTGGGTAGCTACCTGAGCAGACGCGTACAGCTGTGGAGACAAAGGGGTGTAGCGTGAAACAGTGGTGAGGGTGTACAGACTGGACCCAGGCTCACGAGTGAACGTGGCCAGGTGGCGGCCAGTCTTGGAGCACGTGAGGATCGCCACACGCTGTCCTCCAGGAGTAAAGGTGTCAACCCAATGATCCTGAAGGACGGCGTTGCTCACCAGGTTCGTAGAGAACGAGGGGATGTGGAGACCTGACAGCTCACCAGACGGGACCGCCGGGCACGGAAGCACAGTCGTGGCTCGTGCAAGCAGTGGGCCCCCAGAGGTTTCAGCTAGTGAGACAGGGATAGGTGCAGGGAGGGGAGTGACAATGTTGCTGTCGTGAAAGAAACAGCGGGAAGCACCAGAGTCAAGTGTAAACGTGTGCAAGGCCTGAGCCGACGCAGTACCAGGGAGAGCAGACTCACTAGCACCTAGGGCTGCAGCCTCTATACCTGGATCAGGCGGCATACACAAGTAGCAGTCACCCTCAGCACTAACAGTCAATGCATACATGGCAGCAAGAATCGCATCATAGTCAAGATCAAAGATAGGAACATCACGCCTAAGCAGTTTTGCCCAGTTGAGGAACTCAAGAGCATCAGGAAACTTGGCGCGCCAGGCGTCGCTAAGCCGAGCGAAGCAGCGGTACTCAGTGTGAAAGCCGTTGCATGGGCGACCAGCGCGGGGACCGGCGCGAATGACATAGGGGCAGCGACCAGGACCCCCAGACGCCCCACGCCCGGCATACCAGTCATGAAGCTGCTGAAAAGTGGGGTCTGGCGCTGCTGTGGCTGCAGCTGCTGCTGTTGCTGCCCCTGGCCACCACTAGAGCCCCCGATATGGCCGGCTCCACTGCATATCATTTGACAATAACCACTTCAGTCATTTAATATTCACTCTGATCTGAGGTCAATTTTTTACGTTGCAATTACCCTGTTAACCTTCCTGATGTGATTTTTGCACTATCAAAGTTCTGATCGCAAAAACTCATGCTCGCGTGTCGTCCTTATCGAGCTTGGTTTCGAGCAACTCCCCCACAGTCAGGAGATGTCGTGAGAGTGACTTCTAGGAAACTAGGGTTGTAGGAGGTAGCTAGAATGTCGGGAAAGAAGTACCGTCATACCCCGGATATAAGCGCCACCCGCGGATAAGCGCCTGGCGCTTTTAATTGGCGTGTGGCGCTTATATCCGGTGCTCGATTATAAGCGCATACCTAAAAGGCTTACAGATTATAACCGCATACCTGTGCCTTACACATTATAACCGCCACCCTTGTTTTTGTATTTTTTTTTTTTAATTGAAGACATTTAGCACAATTAAACCACTAAACCATCATCTTAGTAGTTAATCTACATCTAGTTAATCTACTTCTACCTACAAGCCTCACACAGGCTTAACCATTTCCTACACATCTACCCTACTCTAATCATCAGCTGCAGTGGGGTCATCTGGGTCGGCCTCAGAGTCTTACTCAGGTTCCTCTACGTTGTTGCAGAAGAAGCCGTCTGCTGCAATTTCATCATCCATGTCGACCTCGTCGCCCACGAGCTCATCTCGCCTGTGTTGCAGGCAGAGCTTGTCCTGGGACCCATCCAGGGCGTTGCTGATGCCGCAAGTGAGGAACGCCCGTTGAATGAGCTCCTTGGGCACGGACTTCCAGGCCGCCGAGATCCACTTGAGCGTCAGCTCGACAGGAGGCTTCTTGATGTTGCCTGCCACGCAAATCCAGAAACGAAGTCACCACGGGTTAAACAAACAAAAGCATGAACAGAAAGGCTGCACCTCTCACCTTTCTTCGTCAAGGTGTCGACCCCCTCACGCTCAAACCACTCCTGGTAGAGCTGGCGAACGGCGGCCTTGAAGGAGCGGTTAACCGCGACATCGAGGGGTTGAATCTCAGAGGTGCAGCCAGCAGGGATGACCGCAGGGACCACGTTGAGCTCGCCAAACTTCTTCTTCACCTCCGGGGTCAGGTGCCCGCGGTACGAATCAAGGACGAGCAGAACCTTCTTGGGGCGGACTCCGAACTTGGGGTTGATGTACGGCTTCACCGCCCCGTCAAGCCACTCGATGACCCCGTCCGCGTCCATCCACCCGTTGGGATGGACCCCCACGTGGATATCTGCACACCAAAACCACGAAGTTAGTTACGTTTTTAAACAGACATGAACATGCCACGGCGTAATCGACGTGCGGTGCATACCTGAAGAGAAATCTCCTTTCGGGACGGTCTTCCTTTAAAAGAAAACCCACGGCTTCAATTTCTCCCCGCTGGCGGTGCAGGCGAGCATCACTGTAACCCGCTCCTTCTGGTAGCCGCCGCTGCGGACGGGGATGGAGCGCGCGCCAACCTCTTCAACGGTGCGTTCGGATGGCATCTCGAGCCAGAGGGGCGTCTGATCCGCGTTTAGAATCCACGGCAGGTCGATCTTGTACTGGCGGCGGGAGTGACGCACGTACGTCCAGAAGTTCTTGACATCAGTCATCCTCGCAGTCTGGGACACGGGATGGGAGGAACAGAAAGCACAAACACAGAGTGAGAGCTGTGAATAGGCCAGGGCACATACAAACAACAACACCACCAAATAACTCACTGGACAAAAGCTTCTGGCCGACCCGGGTCTTCGCTCTGGTCGTCAGGTTCCAGCGGCGGCGAAATCGCTGAGTCCACCGCTGAGAGCCGGCCCACTTTTCACCTGGGTGTAACTCTTTCATCACCTCGTGCGACCACTTCTGCGGTCGTGCGATCGAGACGGCGAGGCACTTCTTGCGGTGTGCGAGAAACCTCCGGTACACCTCCGCTTCCATGTCGCGATACCACGAGCTCCTTCCGTGGCCGTGCAGATGACAGCGTGCACCGTGCACGCCTTCAAGCTCAGCCTTGCGGTTCTTCCACTCCGTGAGGCACCTTCGGGAGATGCCGGATTCGCGAAACATGCACCGCACACTCATCTCTCCGGCTTCGAGCTTCAGAATCCATTGCAGCTTCTCCTGCGAGGTGTAGGAATTTCGTTTGTGAGCTATCGGCTTGTGCCTGGGGGAGGGAGGACGGGCATCACGATTATCGCGAGATGGGTGGGGCCTTTTTTTTTCGGAGGGGGGAAGGAGGGAATTGGAAGGTGCTCGGGGAGACCGTCAGCAGCCCAGAACTCCACGTCGTCCTCGGCACCGGTAGCAGATTCGTCCAACGGGCTATCAGCCGACGCTCCCCACCGTGGCTCCGGTGCGGAGGAAGATCCTTCGCCGCCGCTGCGTTCAGGCTCGGACAGGAAGGCGTCGAACGCCGGGAAGCCAGGGGGGAGGAGAAGCTGCAGAACCCCCTGTCGTGGAACATCAACAGCAGGCGGGTCAGGAGGGGACGGAGGAACGGGAGGAATCGGAGGCGCCGGGGGAGCGGGAGGGGTAGGAGGCGTAGGAGTGGGAGGAACGGGAGGCAAAACTGGTTGTGATAGAGGGACGGGCGCAGGGCGCGTCTGCCATTGAGAGTAGTCACGGGTGTCTCTGCGGGTATTTTCTCGAGCAGCAGGTTGGCGGCGGAACAAGAAATGCGTGCCTGGAAGGCCCGCCATGGCCACGGCAGGCCAAACGAATGAAGAAAGGTGAATCAAGGGTTGAGAATGAGGGCCATATGAAGCCCTCGCCTCTGCGGGGAAAGTGTGGCCACAGTCAAGATTCCCCGCAGAGGAGCTGAGCTGGGAAGCTCTTTGCCTCGGTGGCAGGGAATCTTGTTGTTGATGGGCACGCCGTGGCTGAACCACGACGTGCCCACGATCGCATGCAACCCTGATTGGGCCGGAGGTACGTGTGCGCTGTCATGGGCCAGGTTCACGTTCGATGAACCTGGCCTGGCCAACAAGGCGTGGAAGGCGTGTTGCCACGCCTTGTTGGCCGTTTCACGCGCATAGCATGCACAGTTCCGAACGTTCTCGACTCAGGTAAATTCGCCTTTGAGAATGCTTCGTTCGATTTGGTATATTTAAAAACAAATTTCAATTTTGACATAACATAAACGCCGGCGCTTATAAATTTACTATATTATCAGCCCACCCCCTAAAAAAAACATGTTTTATTAGTGCCCCCCATGGGGGTATATCCGGGGTATGACGGTACAAGAGAGCAAAACAAAGAGTGCACCACCTTTGAGTGTAACAATAATACAATAATTAAAACAAGCATTTGTATATGAAATTCAATCGTAGCACCATCCGTCACTTTCGCGCATATCGCGCCGTCGCGTGCGCTGGAAACTCGCAATCCCCGTGACAATTATTATTTGCGACTTCACGATTAGTATCCGCGTTCGTGAATCCGTGAACGAGGTCTGCCATCCTTCGCGAATCGCGATGCCTCTGGTCGTCGCTTGCTCGCCTCGCCAGCTCCCGCACAAAAACCGCAATTACTCGCAGCAATGTCCATCCAACACCCCCCCCCACCCCAACCAATCTCACGGAACTCGTGCGACTCGGACGCAAAACCCACCTACACACAGCCAAGTCATATGCCCGCGACTCACGGTGTCATCGCTCGATGAAGAGCAAGTGAAGTTTATAAGCGAGATACCACTGCCACTCAAATCATCACCAATTTCAAACATCTTCACCCTCCAATCTTGAAAGCTGTTCTATCACCATCTCGACAGTTTAAGCCAGGTCTGAATACACATAAGCTAGAATGGCTTCCTTCCGAGCCGGCCACACACCCGCTAAGGCCACTTGCCTCGTCGTGGTCATCGCCTCTGCAATGCTCCTTTCCGCCCCTGCGTGCGTCTCCGCCGCCGGGAAACTCGCCAACGCGACTGCGCCTGCCAACGCGACTGCGCCTTCTAACTCGACTGCTATTGCTAAGGGTGTTTCTGCTGGCGCGATTGGGTCTGCAAACGCAACCACGCCTGCCCTGGCGGCGACGGCGAGGCAGAGCAAGAACTCGGTGCTAGGAAAGAACTCCACATGCGCCTATTACGCAAACTACACCGCCAACCCCTACTTCGGCAAGGGGCTCACCGTGAAGCTTCCTCCCGCCATCTTCGGCAAGCGCTGCGGCGCGTGCTACAAGGTGATTTGCGCCAACGACACGAAGCGCTGCCGCAGCGGCAAGGCGACCGTGACGGTCCGCGTCATCGGCGCGACGACCACGGAGAATCAGATCTCGCTCTCCCCCGTGTCGTGGTCCAAGATCGTTCAGGGATCCGACGCCGCCCCCGTCGGCGTCACGTACAAGCGCACCAACTGCCATTCCACCCTCGGATCCGCGGTGCGCGTGCGCGCCAACTCGACGGCGGAGCATTTCAACATTCAGATGGTGGGTCTCGCCGGCCCCGGTACGCTCAAGGCGGTCGAGATCAGCGCGGACGGCAAGAAGTGGGCGAAGCTGACCCGCGACGGCAGCAAGGCGATCTGGGGGATCACGGGCAAGGAGGCGAAGGAGGTTGTGGGCGCTAAGAAGGCGGTGAGCGTTCGGCTGACTGCGGGACACACGCTGGAGAAGATCACCCTCGACAAGGTCATTCCCGCCGACTGGAAGCCGCAGACGCTCTACTCGTCCAAGGCCAACTTCAAGAAGCTCATGGCCGTGGCCAAGTAGGCAATGAGGCGGGAAGAATGAGGCGGGAAGAACGAGGCGGGAAGGAAAAGGCAGCGGATTTGGGAGGTAGCGGGTGGGAGTGGGTGGATTGGGATGAGAGTGGGTTAGTGGGAAGGGAACGGGGTTAGCGGGGAAATGGGCAAGTGTGAGGGGAATACTAGGTGCAGATTTATGCATGTCGCTTCTGTTCTCTTTCGTGGGTTGGTTCAGAATAAAGTATTTCATGTTAAGGGTAGTGCTCTATAGCCTGAGAAACTAACATTATACACCCAAAAGATACTCTCATACGACCGGTTTCCCTAGCGGTAATCATCGTAGCATAGCCCTTCACTCCATCCTAACCACCACCTTGCCTGTCACATGCCCTCCCATGCTCCTCCGCCATGCCTCTCTCGCCTCTTCAAACGCCACACTGCTCTCCACCACCACCCTCACCTTCCCCTCCTCCGCCATCCTCCCCAGCACCTCCAGATCCGCCCCCTTGCTCTCCAGCATCTCCATCATCACAGGCCACAGCCTCCTGGGGCGACAAGCAAGGCGGCGCCACAGTCCCAGAGCGAGCAGAGAGGGCGGAAGCTCCACATGCACCCACCTCCCTTGGGGACGCAGAACCCTGTCCACCGCAGAGACAGGCAGGCTGTTGGGGGAGAAATCTAATACTGCATCGTACAGCCCAGTGATAGGTGGATCAGAGGACGACGCAACCTGTGCAGCAGCAGGAGCAGAGAGGCTGAGAGCCGGCGAAGGGGTAAGGGGTGGGGAAAGGAAGAGCTGTTTCCCTGCAGTTGAGTTGTAGTCAAACACCTCGTCTGCTCCAAGCACGTTCCGTGCGAAGGCGAGGTTGCGAGCGCCGACAGTGGCAGTCACGTGTGCCCCTGCTGCCTTTGCCAGCTGCACTACCAGATGCCCCACTCCCCCTGATGCATTCGCCACCAGCACTCGTGCGCTGTACCCACTGCCATCGCTCCTGCTGGTGCTGGTACCAGAAATAGCGCTGTTACTGCCATTATGCTCCGCACTCAGTTTGGATGCAGGGAGTGGCAGGCCGGCACAGTCTCTCACGGCTTGAAGGGCAGTGAGGCCAACGACGGGGAGAGCAGCAGCAGTCTCAAACGTAAGGGAGGAGGGCTTTAGTGCACTGGCAGCAGTTTCCAGTAGGGCGTATTGTGCCAGGGCGCCCATTTTCTGAGAGAAGAGGAATGAGAAGGGAAAGCAAGTAAGACGTGTGCTGGTCGTGTGGGAGAGAGTGAATGAGATTGGGGGCAGAGAGGATGTATAACGTGTGGAGGGTGTATGGGAGAGAAACAGCCAACTGTGGTAGTGAGAACACCAAACACCAGACTTTGAATGAGAGATTGGTCGATAGGCAAGTGGCCGCATGCCATAACTGAGGGTTGCGACGCAGAGCGGTGGAGAGAGGTGGAGCGCACTGAATGAGATCGGAAAAACTATGAATCAGAATTTGGTGGTTACGGAACGTACGAAGAACGGTGCCCTTCCAAAAACGGCATCTCCCACAGAGTACTTGGTAACGCCAGGCCCCACTGCCACCACGTTGCCTGCCAGGTCGAGCCCTGCATGCACAAAGGTAATTTAGGGAAAAGCAAACAATAATCTTGATTGGAGTGTGTGACGAGAAGGGTGAATGACAAGGCGGTGGGAAAAGAAACACAAGAGGGTGAACCGCAGAGCAAGGTAATGGGACACAAGGCAGTGCATGCACAGCACTCACCAACGGTGGCAGAGAGTTGCAGCGGCAGGAAGTGGATGTCACCAAAGTGCACCTTTCAATCAATCAGCCCTTTTGATAAAAAAATCTTAGATACTTGTGCAGCTGCTTGCACGCTTTTCTCACCAGCGGTGGCTGGGAAGCGGCGTGGCAGGAAGGGGATGAGTCCCGACTGCACCTTCCAGTCGCCCAAGTTACCACCACACACATCGGAACACCCTCTCTCTGCACTACTAGCCGGGTACTGCTTGCGCTTCTCCACTCACCAGCAGTGGCGGGGAAGCGGCGCGGGAGGAAGGGGATGAGTCCCGACTGCACCCTCCAGTCGCCCGGGTTGATGCTCGCCGCGCGCACGCGAACCAGCACCTCGCCCTTGCATGGTTTGGGTACGGGGACGCTGTCGCTCAACTGGTGGTGAAGTGAGGAGGAGGGAGGGATCGAAGAAATTAAATAGGTCTTTGAAGCCTCGCTCGCCCTTGCGCACGCGAACCAGCACCTCGCCCTTGCACGGCGCATGCATGGGCACGTTTTTATTCAACTGGTGAAGTGAGAAGGAGCGAGGGATGGGGAGAAAACATTAGATTGAAGTTGCCCGCCCTTGTGTATGCGAAGCAGCACCTCGCCCTTACATGGCGTGCTGGGACGCCGTCATTCAGCTGGTGAAGCTAGAAGGAGTGGGGTACTCCCGCTATCGATAAGGGAAACTAGGAAAGGTGAAGCCTAGGAATGGCTTTGAAGTAGAGCGGCTCGCCATGCGCACTCGAAGCACCGCCTCGCCCTCACACAGCTTGGGAGTGCCGGTACATATCGGTGAAGTGCGGTGGGGCGTGCTGGATGGAGGACATGTAACAGTACGCGGCAGATGATGCGGCATCTGCGTGTCCATGTCCCGTGCCCATGCCGTAGAGCTTAAAGCCTAGTAAGGTCCGTCATTCAACTGAGAGGAGCACCATGCTCCAGATCGCGATGCGGGTACGTCGACCTCTGCAATTCCGTTGCGGCGCGACAATGGCAGCGGAATGGAATGGAATGCCCGTGGGGTTTAGAAGGATGTGGCGTGAGCAAGGGGAAACGAGTCATCATGATGACAAGGTGCAGAAAAGCAACGAGTACGCGGCAAAAGCAACTGCTAGAAACGAAAGACACCTCGGATGATTCGAGCGAGGGTGAAACGCACCGAGAGAGCATCAGCCCCGCCGCCGTGCTTCAAGTACTGCCACGCCGCCATGGTCTCCGGTACGTGCGACATCATTTGCGATTAAGGCCTGACTTGCGAAGCCCCAACTGCAACGGAGCTGTTTCCAGCAGTCGTCACTGCGCGTTAGACAGCAACGAGCGGCGCTCACGGAAACGGGCAGTGGTACTACGAGATCACGTCTCAGCGGCAGATTTGCCGTTGAAACAGCTGCGTCGCACACAGACACAAGTCGCACGTTGGTGTTGGCAGCAGCAGTGGACTGGCAGCGGATTGAGGACCAGCAGCAGTGAACTAGCGCAGCGGGCGAGTTGCGAGAGAACACGTTGCGAGATGCACTGAAGTGATGCCGAGTGAAAGTAGATCTGACAAATGGAGGAAATTGCGGAGCGCAGATGATGAAACTGCTGCGGATGGATTGCCTATTTGAGCTATTCGGATTGCGCGGCAGCATCGTGCTAAAGCGCGGCGCGTTCGCGTTGATTACCATTACTAATCTTGCGGTACGAGCCGAGGCAATAACGGAATGGAGACCTTCCACGCAATAGAGAAGAACTAGAGTCTAGGGCAGCGAATATGCGCAAGCAGAATAGTTGGACTAGGCTGGACCTCGCCCTGATTGTGTGGACTATCAGATGCAGCCTGCTCGACGTCACGAGTGCGCAGTCATCGCGTCAGAAAGGTCGCATCTCAGCAGCTTCAAGGAATCGCGTTAATAGCATGTACTGTTACGATGATAATCGAAGGGCAGTCTGCATTGTGTATTGTTATAAAGAACAAGAAAACCGTTTGATTCACGATTCCTCGAAATTCTCCAGATGCGACCTGAGTGACGCAACAGTTCCGCACGGCTGATGCGGGGCAGGCTGCATCTGATAGCGCCAACAATCAAGGCGAGGGCCAGTCTAGTCTAGTTGCGCGCCGTCTTTCCCCTGTTCTTAGCTCCTCCTCACTTCCTTCTCTCTTGCGTGGAAGGTATCCTTCGTTTGCTTCGACTACCGTTAGTTTAGACATGGTAACCAACGCGAACGGACCGCGCTTTCGCACAATGCTGCCGCGCATTTCAAATAGCTTAAATGGGCAGACCATCAGCGGTAGTTCCATTATCTGCTCTCTGCTCTCAGCATATTCATCGATTTCTAGAATCTACTCTCACTCGGCAGTACACTTCGCAACGTATTCTTCTCTCACTCGCTGCGCTAATCTTCGCAAATGATGTCGCACGTACCGGAGACCATGTGCGCGTGGCAGTACTTCAAGCACGGCGGCGGGGCTGATGCTCTCTCGGTGCGTTCCACCTAGCCCGAGTAATATCCGCCCTTCCTTCGTTATCACACGTTTGTTCGTATCAGACGCACGTGCAACTGCTCTATCTGCACCATGTCGCTTGCTTCCTTATAGAGCAAGACCGACCTTGGGGTTTAGACATCCACCGTGAGCCCAACTGCCTTCTTTCTCCTAGCGTCACCGTCGTTGCGCCGCGACGCCCTTACGGTCGAATTACAGATGATCGAAGCGTCGCAACACGGCTGCCGAAGGTGGTTTTCGCGTTTGCGCGGATTCTTTCACATGATTTCAAGCCCTCTTATTTTTTCTTGCTGTTACATTTCCCCTGCGCCCCTCTCGCTTCTCGCCAGATGAACGACAGCGTTCCTGTGCCCACGCCGTGTAAGGGCGAGACGAGAAACTTCAACCCTAACCTTTTCTCCCAACTCCTCACTCCTTGTCACTTCACCACCAGTTGAATGAAAACGTCCCTGTACCCGTGCCGAGCAAGGGCGAGGTGCTGGTTCGCGTGCGCGCGGCGAGCATCAACCCGGGCGACTGGAAGCTGCAATCTGGGCTCATCCCCTTCCTGCCACGCCGCTTCCCTGCCACCGCTGGTGAGAAAGCGTGGACGCGTTTGCTTGTGCTTTGTGCAAAAACGGAGGCTTTAAGGGTCATGGTAGATGGTTGGAGGCCGACTGGAAGGTGCACCCTCACTGGGCTCATTCATTCATGCAGCTGCAAATCGCCTCCACTTCTGAGATCGCCGGCTTGCCGCTTGTCAGCCTTACTTCTCAAACAATTTGTTTGTGTTTTGGATTCTGCTGTCTCATCCCTCCATGCAGGGTTCGACCTTGCTGGTAACGTGGTGGCAGTGGGGCCTGGCGTTACCAAGTACTCTGTGGGAGAGGCTGTCTTTGGAAGGGCACCATTCTTTGTACGTTTATTGAAGGCGTCAATTTTGCTTTTCTTTTGCCCACTGCGCGGCTCCACCTCTCTTCACCACTCTGCATCGCATTCCTCGCTCTTAGCATGCGAGGGCTCCTGGTTCCGACAGCTTTAAGCCACATTCGCATTCACACTCGTGCTCAAATTTCCGTGTGTTATTCCTATACCCAACCATTCACCCTCTATGCCTTCTCCCAACTTCTCTCCTCACTCTCGTTTATTCCCTCAGAAAATGGGAGCTTTGGCGCAGTACGCAGTGTTGGACCTTCAAGGCAGCGCACGCAAGCCCTCCTCCCTCACTTTCGAGACCGCTGCTGCTCTCCCCATCGCTGGTCTCACTGCCCTGCAAGCCGTGAGGGACTATGCTGGCCTGCCCCTCCCTCCACTCAACCCGAGTGGGGAAGGGAGTGGAGACAGCAGCGGTGGTAAGGCTGAGAGTACCAGCAACGGCACCAGCAGCACAGGATACAGCAGTGGGAACAGGGCGCGGGTGCTGGTGGCGAATGCGTCGGGGGGAGTGGGGCATCTGGCAGTGCAGCTGGCCAAGGCAGCAGGGGCACACGTGACTGCCACTGTCGGCGCTCGCAACCTTGCCTTTGCACGGAACGTGCTTGGAGCAGACGAGGTGTTTGATTACAACTCACCTGCAGGCAAACAGCTCTTCTATTCCCTTCCCCCGTCCTCTTCGCCTGTTATCAGCCTTTCCAAACCTCATGCCGCACAGGTTGCTTCATCTGCGGAGCCTCCTGGCAGTGGGCTGTATGATGTGGTGATTGATTGCTCTCCCGCCAGCCTGGCTGTTTCTGCTGTGGATAGGGTTCTGCGTCCAGAGGGGAAGTGGGTGCATGTGATTCCCCCGTTCTCAGTGTTCGCTCTGGGACTCTGGCGACGGTTTGCAGGTCGCCCGAAGAAGATTTATAACGTTATGATGGAGAACAGGGGGTCTGATTTGGAGGTGGTGGGGAGGATGGTGGAGGAGGGGAGGGTGAAGGTGGTGATAGAGGGTAGTGTGCCGTTTGAAGAGGCGAGAGAGGCGTGGAGGAAGAGCATGGAAGGGCATGTGACGGGGAAGTTGGTGGTTAGGATGGAGTGATAAGGGCACAACGGATTCTACTACTAAATAGATTGGTCACATGGATGTGCCCGCTTGTATACTCATATTTTTTTCTCAAATGTAGCATTGTTTCTTATTGCAGTACATATATTTTTTTCCGTGAAGTCCTCTTTTGGAGTTTCCTTTCATATACGGTAGGTACTAGTACGGTACCTAGATTACTGAATGTATATGCTGATGGTTTTTATTTCCTGTCTGGTTCTATATATTGAAATTGGAGAACCTCTTTGCGAAGATTATTGGCGACACACAAGCCCGATTCCGTGGTCGCCGCATTATGCGGCGGGTGGTTAGTTGAATGTGCGATGCGAGGTTACCAACAATTGTGCACGAACACCAAACCTCCGTATTGCATGCCTACCCCGCGCCGCGTACCAGTAACATTATTGGCGAGCAAGGCAGTTATCCGAAATCTGCGGCGAGCTGAGACTATCACTTTCCTTTTTCTACTGGCAGTTGTAGTAGTAGGTATTGAGCTAGCCTATGGGCTGCCGACCCGCCACCCGCGGTAGTCATCTCATCCGCTGGGTGGCGCAACCGACGCGAGGTGATTTCATGACACGCCCAGCCGGAATTCACTTCACCCAGCCACTGAAATACGCTGCCAGCAATAACTGTGAGCGACGAGATTTCTGGCGCCGCTACCCCACATCGCCGTTCCTCAAGGCGGCTCCGGGTGATTAACAGCTCCGCTGCCCCCTATTTATGTCAAATTATATTCTACTAATTTTTTCTCTCTAGGTTGTGTAGGGGTGATTTCTTAGAGGGTACACAATTTCTCTCGACATTCTTGTACCCCCCCCCTTGACCTAATCAGGCATCCTTGCCTAAGATTCTAACATGGTATAGAGCAGGAGGTCCTTAGGACCTTAGTACCTGTTCTGTTTGGGCCCACCTTAAAATCACCTTCGGTTACCGCGTTACCCCGCGCCCGCCCTACCCTACTACGCGTCGCGCTGCCCCTGCTGGCCGCGCGCCACTGCTGCAGCGCGCGTTTTCCTTTTTTTTTCCGCGCGCTGCCTTGCCTGCCCTACCCCGCGCGCGCTACGCTCGTCGCGTCGCCCCGCGGCCCTCACGCGGCCCTCGCGCGGCCCTTTCGTGGCTCTCCGCGGCCCTCGCGCGGCCCTTTCGTAGCCCTCCGCGGCCCTCGAGCGGCCCTTTCGCGGAGGTCCGCGGCTCTCCGCTGCCCCTTCGCGGCCCCCCTACGCGGCCCCTCCGCGGCTCTGCCGCCCTGCCGCTTCGTCGCCCCACCGTCGCCGCCTCCACAGCGGCGACCGTCGCCGCCCCTGGTGCAGCCGCCCCTGGTGCAGCCGCCCCTGGTGCAGCCGCCCCTCTGCAGCTGCCCCTGGTGCAGCCGCCCCTGCAGCAGCCGCCCCTGGTGCAGCCGCCCCTGGTGCAGCCGCCCCTCTGCAGCTGCCGCCCCTGGTGCAGCCGCCCCTCTGCAGCCGCCCCTGGTGCAGCCGCCCCTGGTGCAGCCGCCCCTCTGCAGCTGCCGCCCCTGGTGCAGCCGCCCCTCTGCAGCTGCCGCCCCTGGTGCAGCCGCCCCTGGTGCAGCCGCCCCTCTGCAGCTGCCGCCCCTGGTGCAGCCGCCCCTCTGCAGCTGCCGCCCCTGGTGCAGCCGCCCCTCTGCAGCCGCCCCTGGTGCAGCCGCCCCTCTGCAGCCGCCCCTGGTGCAGCCGCCCCTCTGCAGCCGCCCCTGGTGCAGCCGCCCCTGGTGCAGCCGCCCCTCTGCAGCTGCCGCCCCTGGTGCAGCCGCCCCTCTGCAGCTGCCGCCCCTGGTGCAGCCGCCCCTGGTGCAGCCGCCCCTCTGCAGCTGCCGCCCCTGGTGCAGCCGCCCCTCTGCAGCTGCCGCCCCTGGTGCAGCCGCCCCTCTGCAGCCGCCCCTGGTGCAGCCGCCCCTCTGCAGCCGCCCCTGGTGCAGCCGCCCCTCTGCAGCCGCCCCTGGTGCAGCCGCCCCTCTGCAGCCGCCCCTGGTGCAGCCGCCCCTCTGCAGCCGCCCCTGGTGCAGCCGCCCCTCTGCAGCTGCCGCCCCTGGTGCAGCCGCCCCTCTGCAGCCGCCCCTGGTGCAGCCGCCCCTCTGCAGCCGCCCCTGGTGCAGCCGCCCCTCTGCAGCCGCCCCTGGTGCAGCCGCCCCTCTGCAGCTGCCGCCCCTGGTGCAGCCGCCCCTCTGCAGCCGCCCCTGGTGCAGCCGCCCCTCTGCAGCCGCCCCTGGTGCAGCCGCCCCTCTGCAGCCGCCCCTGGTGCAGCCGCCCCTCTGCAGCTGCCGCCCCTGGTGCAGCCGCCCCTCTGCAGCTGCCGCCCCTGGTGCAGCCGCCCCTGGTGCAACCGCCCATCTGCAGCTGCCGCCCCTGGTGCAGCCGCCCCTCTGCAGCTGCCGCCCCTGGTGCAGCCGCCCCTCTGCAGCTGCCGCCCCTGGTGCAGCCGCCCCTCTGCAGCTGCCGCCCCTGGTGCAGCCGCCCCTCTGCAGCTGCCGCCCCTGGTGCAGCCGCCCCTCTGCAGCTGCCGCCCCTGGTGCAGCCGCCCCTGGTGCAGCCGCCCCTGGTGCAGCCGCCCCTCTGCAGCTGCCGCCCCTGTTGCAGCCGCCCCTGGTGCAACCTCCCATCTGCAGCTGCCGCCCCTGGTGCAGCCGCCCCTCTGCAGCTGCCGCCCCTGGTGCAGCCGCCCCTCTGCAGCTGCCGCCCCTGGTGCAGCCGCCCCTGGTGCAGCCGCCCCTGGTGCAGCCGCCCCTCTGCAGCTGCCGCCCCTGGTGCAGCCGCCCATCTGCAGCTGCCACCCCTGGTGCAGCCGCCCCTGCAGCAGCCGCCCCTGGTGCAGCCGCCCCTGGTGCAGCCGCCCCTGCAGCAGCCGCCCCTGCAGCTGCCGCCCCTGCGCCGGCCCTTCTTGCCACTGGTGAGCACTGTCCTGCCCGTACTGCTGTTACTACTGCTCCTACTGCTACTGCTCTTTCTCCTGCTACTGCTACTCATGCTGCTCCTACGGCTACTGCGCTTTCTACTGCTCCTGCTGCTACTGCTGTTACTGCTGTTCCTGCAGCTACTGCTCTTTCTACTGCTACTGCTGCTCCTGGCGTGGCCAGATGCAGCTCCAGCGCCGTCCACGTGAGCCCCCCCCGCCCCCACAGCTTCATGAGTGGTACGCTCGTTGGGGTTGTCGGGGTGGCCGTCGTGAGAGAAGTTCTGGCGTGAGTAGTTTCGGGGCTTCTTGTAGTGGCCAGGTGCAGCTGCAGCGTCGTGTGCGCGCGGTCCCTTCGCCCTCGCAGCTTCATGAGTGGTACTTTCAGCGGGGGGGGGGCCCGCGGTTCTGCTCGCTGCACGTACGTCATTCGCACTGGTGCTCGGACTGGCCAGCCTTGCGGGACGTTTGGTCACACAGCGTCCCGCTGCTTCGCCAGTCTGAGCGACGCCTGGCGTACGGAGTTTGGCGACGCGGCTGAGCTCCCCGACTGGGTGGAGCTACTCTGGCAGAGGGTAGATATCTATGCTCTTGACTTTGATGCTATCCTCACTGCCATGTATGCATTGTCTGCTAGTGAGTCTGCTGCTCCAGGTGCTAGTGAGTCTGCTGCTCCAGGTGCTGGTGAGTCTGCTCTCTCAGGTACCACGTCTGCTCCGGCGTCGCACACTTTCACCCTTGACTCAGGTGCTTCCCGCTCCTTCTTTCGAGACCGCACCACTCTCACGCCGCTCAGTCGGCCGGTTGCGGTCTCCCTGGCAGACCCCTCTGGGGGTCCTGTTCTTGCCCACTACTCCACTGTACTACCGTGTCCAGCGGTCCCGTCTGGCTCCCTGTCAGGTCTTTACCTCCCCTCGTTCTCTACGAACTTGGTGGCGGGTGCTGACCTCCAGGATGGGGGGGTTGACCAGTTCATCCTGCTCGCCAGCAGGTGACCCACTGCACGTGTGCAGACACGGGCCGACACTTGGCCACGTTTACCCGTCGGCCGGGGTCGAGCCTGTACACCCTCACTACCGAGTCTCCTCCGGTTGCTGTGCCTGGTCAGGTAGCTGCGTCGAGTCAGGTGTCTGCTGCAGTGTCTCGGTCTGGTCCTGTTCGTGTCGCCTCCTGTCCCACGAGACTCTTCTCTGGCACCACCGTCTTGGTCACCCCTCCCTGCCTCGTCTCCGAGGCATGGCCTCCCGTGTCCTTGTCTCTGGTCTCCCCCGGTCTCTCCCTCCCCTTCCTCCGGGGCCTGCCCCTACCTGCGTCCCCTGCGTCGAGGGGCGGCAGCGCGCCGCTCCTCACTCCTCCGAGTTTCCGCCGACAGAGGCTCCGCTGCAGACTCTTCACATGGACGTGTGGGGCCCAGCCCACGTCCGTGGACAGGGTCACGAGCGCTACTTCCTGCTGGTGGTTGACGATTACTCGCGTTACACCACAGTCTTCCCCTTGCGCCGCAAGGATGAGGTCACTGAGGTGTTGATCGACTGGATCCGCGCTGCTCGTCTCCAGCTCAGGAAGAGTTTCGGCTCTGACTTTCCTGTCTTGCGTCTGCACTCTGACAGAGGTGGGGAGTTTTCCTCCGGCCCTCTGCGAGCCTTCTGTCGTGCGAGGGGCATCCGCCAGACGTTCACGCTTCCGGCCTCTCCACAGCAAAATGGGATTGCTGAGCGCCGCATTGGCATGGTCATGGACGTCGCTCGTACGTCCATGATCCATGCGGCTGCTCCCCATTTTCTGTGGTCGTTTGCGGTTCAGTACGCGGCGCGTCAGATCAGTCTTCAGCCCCGGGTCTCCATGCCGGGGACCTCCCCCACTCTGCTATGGACGGGGAAGGTTGGCGATGCGTCTGCGTTCCGTGTCTGGGGATCTCGGGCTTTTGTCCGAGACTTGTCTGCGGACAAGATGTCCTCCCGTGCTGTTCCCTGCGTCTTCCTTGGCTTTGTCCCTGACGCGCCTGGTTGGCAGTTTTACCACCCCACCTCGCGCCGTGTTCTGTCCTCCCAGGACGTCACGTTTGACGAGTCGGTTCCGTACTACCG